GACCTTGTTTATTTTTAAGAAACGGACCAGCTGAGGGCTATAAGAGGAACTGAATGTGGCAAATGCTGTCTGTTTTCTTAGAATGTAAACTAAGTACATGCGGGTGCATGTGTACTTGTGATGACCTAAAAGACTTGAAGTTACAGGTTGTGGGCTGCTTTTCCACTTCTCAGTATGGCTGTGTAGCAAATAAATGAAGGATTTTTGTCAGAAATAGTGTCTTCAGATCTTGTCAGTTGAACTCAAGAATTTTGCCAATTGTATACTTTGTTAAGGATTTACTGGGCTGGAAGGAGAATCAGCTACTAAGAATCTAGATGGTTCTCTGTGTATTTTTGGGTCTGTGGTAGGATGAAACTACTCATTATGGGTCTGTAGGGCTAGTACAGTGGGGGATTTTTCTTAAGATTATGCTTCTTTCACACTCAAAATCATTACCAAAAAAAACTGGTGCATGCTGTGTATTTTGTGATTACAGGTCATCAATGTCGCAATTGCAAAAAGCATATAAAGGAGAGGAAAATGGGCAAGTGGATGCCTTTCTTCATGACGGGGATGTTTTTTACCACTAAAAAAAGTTTAAATGGCAAGACATCACTTCTATCTGGATAACCCCTCATTATCTGTTTCTCTTTTTCAGGAGACTTAGGAAATGCTCATTCGGGTGAATTGAAGGTCCTGTGATTTCACTGCTTTCCCTTTCCCTCCCTTGCCATCTGGTTTAAAGTTACTTTTTGGCTTGTGGCTTTTTGTTGGGAATTTGGTGTGAAGTACCGTTGGTGCAAGTTTTCATCTAAGAAGCAAATACGGTTGTAGTTTTTGCTGCCCCGTCACTTCCATTAGTGGCTGTTGCTCTGAGTCTTGCAGAGAAGGCATCAGAGGAAATTAAAATTGTCTGTTCTTTTGTTAAATCTCAGTTGCCAGGGGCTTTGTGTTTGTTTGGCCCAAGATTGTCACCAAGATGCATAATTTGGAGGAATTGCTGGCAATGTTTTCTTTGGATTATTCTTTCTTTAATAGAAACAGGGAGATCTAGGTATATTGCCTGATCTTGCTTTTCCTCCCAACAGTCAGATGTACTATGGTCTGTTGGGAGGGAAAGGTCTTTTCATTAAATGTTTTAAAATTATTTCTCTGTTGGTTTTCATGGCTACCGGAAAACAAATGATAAAATCCTAACTTGATGACTGTAAGGTTTTTATAAATGCCTGTATCTATGTGTGTTGGAAAAGGATTTGTCTCCATGCTAGATTCTTCTCTTTAAAGATTCTGATTAATCCTAAAAGTGTTTATTCAGATGACATGAATTACAAGTGGATGAAATTACATTGTTGTCGGATTGACTCATCATCCTGCTTCACTCCCCCAGTTGAGAACATTGACTTCCAACTCTGAAGAGTTTGCTCACGTGAAGACCTGGGTTTTACACGGATGACATATCTCCCTTGGTAGAGATCTAGAGGGTTTTGATAGCTGGGTTTTGAGATGATAATCAAGGATAAGAGGAAAATAAAAAAAAGACCAGGGGGTAGAAGAGCTGGAAGGGAAGGAAGAACAATACCTGTCTCTCTGACTTACTTATGACAAGCTTCTTGCCAAGAAAGATGCACAGCATCATTAAGAGAGATAAGGAGAGTGGGGAATGTTTGAGGATATATCAATTGGCAAGCAGTTTGAAATGCCCGGATGCCACGCAGAGCATTGCCCCAGCAGCGGAAGCATGTGGCGGTGAGAGATTATCTTGGTGTGGCTGTATCTCTTGTGCAGTCACTGAGCTTTAGCCTCCAGGTCTTTGTGCCTTTTAGAATCAGTAGCGAGAGTGTTGCTTGGTGGCTAGAACATGCTGCACCCTGGTGTCTCCCTTCAGTCTGTATCAAAGGGGAAAAATAATAATGGCTTCTCTGTAAAGTTTCTTCTAGTTCTGTGGTTGATAAATAATAGAACTATGATTATTAGAAGTAGGTTTTGTTTTGTAGTCTTCTAAAACATTTTGATCCTAGGAAGACGAAGCTGTAGATGTGAGGGAGTTTGGACTGAAGGCCTCTAGGATGACAGTATCTCTTTCAGAATATTTCTGTGTAATTCTATGAGAGTTTTCATGGCAAATTGAAGAGGAAAAGTATTCCTTGCTTTCCCCAGCATTTTGCCAAATACTGTTCATTCCCAATAGCTAAAATAGCCTGAATGTCACGAGGGCTTTTTACTAACCTATAACTATGTTAATGCCTTTCTTGCCACAAGGGTAGTTTCTCTCAGTAAAAAGCCAAAAAATTGCACACTGCAGAATGCACACAATGGACATTGCCAACAAACTGCCAATGGAACTTCCCCATGAAAATGAAGCAGTATTTACAAGGCTGCCTTGCTCTGGGGAAAACTTTCAGGGGAAATGAGTTGCTGTGAAAGGAAAATCAGGTCTGGTGGAAGTGTTTGGTTGGGTTTGGGTGCTTTGTTGGACCTTTAGGTGCACATGATCTGCAAACAACCTGTGCCAAAAGTCTGGTTTCTAGTAAACGCTCTGTTACTCTGAGCTTTATGAAATTCTGAAAATAGTTTAAGTAGGCTGTGGGCATGGGGAGAGGAGGGTCCTACTCCCAGACTTTGGCATTTGCAGTTCTGATAACACGAGGGTCAGTTATGTTCTGATACCATTTGGTGGCTAGCCTGCCTTCAGAGAAAGCTTGCTGCGCCTGCCATTTATCAGTTACTGGTTTAGATGAGATGGGGAGATTTGTGTTGTTGAATCCTGAAGAAGTGAAAATAAGACTCTGAATCTGTTGGAAGATTTTCTCTTAAATTCCTGATGAGAACTTCAAGTAAGTTGACTTGACAGTAAAACGGAATTGCAGCCTGGGGTTGAGGGAGGAGTGGGGAAGAGGGGTGTCTTATCTGCTCTGCACAGAGAAGAGCATGTTATTATCCCTCTGGGGGACTTGAACAGAGATTAAGGAAAACAGTGTGTATGTTTCTGTGAGCAGAAGCAAGCACCATGAGGCCCTGTGTAATGCCACGGTTCTGCTGCTGCGGAATCAGCTTTGTAAATCCATTGTCCAAGCTCAGGAGAGACCTTCCTCATCCTGCCATTTTACCGCTTGCACAGAATGGGCCAAAGAGTTTCCTACACAAACTTTAAATATCTGTATATTAAGGCACAGAGCTTGTTGTTCTGATTTACATTTCTGAAGTTAAGTTTTTCCCTTGCGACTTAATCTAACTCAAATTAATCTACCTGCAGCTTTCTAAAATTATTTCACTGCTGGAGAGGAGGATACTCGTGTGTACTTACAGCACCTGCAATAGCGATAGGAGTGGGCTTGTGGGCCAGCACAGGCATCTTAACTGCTGCTTTCTGGCCCTGTTAAATGTCTGCAATGGATCTAAAGCAACACATATTGCATTTTATAACTCTGAAAAATATATGCTGTTTGCCCTGTGTAAAAACTGTTAAGCTAGAAATGTTACTGCACTGCTGGGAGAAGTGAGCTGCCACTCATTCAGCTCCTCACGCTGTCAGCTTTGGAACTGGGAGATGACAAACATTGGCACTAGCACTTGTTTTGCAACAGAAACATCCATTATATTTACACTTTGCCTTGGGGACACCTTTTGGTATGCTGTGAGAAAAGCCTGCCCTTGGCTCTCTAAGGTGTCGTAGCTTTTTTCCTCTGATGATTTCTGATGTGGTTACAATTGCCAACAGAGAAATTGCTGGCAGATTGAAAATGTGTGGGCAATGTCAAATGAGCTGTTGTTTCAAAATGCACACAGAAGACCCTGCTGATTTGGTTGTATTAGTTTACGTTTATTCTTAATTTCTAGAAGTTTTGTTTTTGTTTTTGTTTTTTTTTTTTAATTGGAGCAGAGTAGCCACCGAATCAACAGATTGCTGCTCTTTCAGGCAACAACAGTCAAGGCTAAGCTCATGTCATGAAAGACTGTCTGGGCTTTGTCATCTTGAAAGACAGTCAGGAGTTGTCTAAAGTCGGAAAAAAATTGTGCTTGTAGCCATGTTCCAGTTCCATGAAGATCTGTGCAAACTATATTTAGCTTGTGGGGGAATAACACCGTATTTATTTCTTCAATAGCACCCAAAATGACAGTACCGCATGTTTCAGTGCCTTAAAATGAGGTGTTTTCTCTGGATTTTCTCCTTTAGCCCCCTTGGTGGCAGGGCGCCTGGTGTCTGGGGCACAGCGAGGGCTGGTGAGGGCTTTGTGGTGGCGGATCAGAATACGACAGGGCTGTGCTGGGGGCGGGTGGCAAAGGGAGCTCAGCATGAAATGGGGCTGGCCGGGTGGGGAGAAAGCTGTTCTCTTATCTTTGAAAGAGTTAATGATGGTTTGGGGAGTGGAAAGAGATTCCTGAAGCTGAGCACTAATCAAATTAGAAGCACTGTGCACATGCCCAACATTTCTTTGTCTGAGCGTCTCTTTTCACCTGCTGCTGGAGATGCAGTGGAAAAGACATGATTTTGCTTTGCATCTTTTGTGTGCTGTTCTGTTTCACAACTTTTTTCTTTGTTTCATTGTTTCTTTTCATCCTCTCTCCTTTCTCCCACATCTCCATTCTCCACACTGCCAAATGTTCTTGCAACTCTGCTAGTTGAAGTGGAAAGAGAGACCATGTTTTTATATCTGGCTGGCTGTGTTGGGTCATTATTTAAGGGGCAAGATGGGAAAAGGGGCTGCTGTTGAAGAACTCCAGAAGATATGCCCAAATTTGCTGTTAATGGGATAGGATATTTTCACCCCTCGCTTCTCTGTCTTGCTCTTTTCCTTTCTCTTTACTTTGCAGGACTGCTTAAATTCCTTCCTCATCTTGCAGTCTGTGTCCATGTCACAACCTGACGCTGTATGGAACTGCTAGTCTAAGGCTGACCCTTTGCTTTTGTTGCAGGCAGAGTCCTTGGGTTTGAAGACTCATTGACATCACTGAGATTGCCACTTGGACCTTCAAGAGACGAGACTTTCTGATGCCCCTGCTCGGCTCCACCTGACCCTATGACTGGAGGGTTCACCATAGCTCTGTCCTTTGCTCTCCAGTTCCAGAAGATGGGTTCGTTCAGAAGGCCCCGACCTCGCTTCATGAGCTCCCCGGTCCTCAGCGACCTGCCGCGGTTCCACGCCTCCCGGCAGGCTCTGCAGCTCAGCTCCAACTCTGCCTGGAACAGGTGAGTGGGACCCACCCGGGCTGAGCTCTTGCCCTGCAGCCGTCCCTCGATAAGTGCTGCACGTGTCTGATCTTTGTGCTTCAGAGCATTTATGGCTAAGCTCATCTGTTTATAAGCATGCATGGATTTATGGATTTTTGTCATACCCAAGCTTTGCCAGCATTGAAAGCCTCTGTGGAGGTGAAAAAATTAGAACTAGCAGTGTTCAGCCTTGTTTTTGGCTAACATTGTTCAGAGGTAGTGTCTTGGAGTAAAACGGAATTGCTCTTTGTTAGCAGTTACAACTTTCAAATGCCATTTAGAAAAACAGATTCCTAGTACTGTAATAAAGGCCAGTTTCTTAATGCACAACTGGCATTTATTTGCATATTATGAAGCTTTTACCACAGTCAAGTTCCTCTGACAACTGCTAAGCTTGTGGCTTCTACAAGCATTTCCTATTGGCAGCCAGATCCTGTCTGCTGTACATGTCACGCAGCAATGGCAACTGGAAAAACAATGTGTAGGGTGGAGAGTGAGATGTCGTGATCTGATCTAATGGGCTGCTGCTAACAACAGTGGGTGTTCCCACCTTCACTTCTGCCACCTTGCACTGGCTCTGTGCTCCGCAGACCTTGCTTTCGTGCTGACCTAGCTCAGCTTACTCATCTCACCCAAAAGTAGCCTGATAAAAACATCACAGTTTTGTGCAAGGGTGGTGGGCTGAGGTCCGTGAAACACGCACATGCCATAACTGGCCCACAGAAGGGAATGTCCGTTAAGAGAATGACACCTCCTCTTGTTAGCCTTGGCAAGCCTTTAGACCTGCTCAACCATCCTGTGTGCTGTCACTTTCTGACTTCCTCTGTGCTGGTGAGAGAAGTACAAGATCCTCCAACAGTGTCTTACGAGCGTTAACAGGGTTTAAAGTTGGGTCTGACTAAGGCGATGCTGGTTGCAGAATGTCTTCCAGCACAGCCAGGCTCCTGCCAGATGCTGGAGGTTGGGTGGTTCCTGCTGGCATCACTGGATAGTGCAATGTGAGGTGTTTGGCAGATACTGCCAAAAATCTATGTCTCCTCATAGCCACTGGCCTGCAGCACACAGCAGGGATCCCCTAAACAGGCATGTTAAAGATATATCTGGTGTCTACATCTTCTTTGTGAACAATGTCCCTGTAATTGCTTTCCTTCACTTATTCTAGGCACAACTTGAGGTTTGTGCTGCTCTGTCTCCCATGAGACACGTAGGTAAACAAGAGTGATGATTTCCAGGGCAGAACGAGTGGAAGCATTTAAGTGCAATTAACCTCTCCACCCCATTACAACCACTCAGCTTACGGCGGCTAGCTGACATTGTGCTCTGTGTTAAATCACACTGGTGGCTGTTATTTATGGATGTTGTACTGTCTTATTTCTTTTTTTGGCAGTGTTCAAACAGCAGTGATAAATGTGTTCAAAGGGGGAGGTTTGCAGAACAATGAACTTTACACCCTCAATGAAAATATCAGGTAGGTTGCTGAAATGCATGAAAAGGGAGTTTTTGTTGCTGCTTATTGGTGTTTGCTTGGTTTTGTTTCCCTGCAGATCCACAGTTAAAGGATATTGGTGGGAGGAGCAGGGGTCAAAGCAGCTAAGCAGAGCTTTGGGGTTTCAGGCTGCCTTACTTCTCTTTTGCACTTGGGTGGAGTGAATGGCATGAGGCACTTGGATAACGTTTCTCTGACTTGTGTGGATGGGTAGCTTTGACAGGGACAGAATGTGTATTGACTTGGTTTATTAGGATTTTGTCCCCTCATAGGGAGTTTGCCTCTTCTGGCTGTTTTTTGCACGTTTTTGTCAGGGCATTCGTGATGGTAGTACTATCTCTTTTCTAAACTTCTCAGAACTGTGGAATGTTTCCAATAAAAGCAAAACACAGCATTTCATTTAAAAGCTTAATCTTCACATGATAATTGCAGAGCAAGACCTGAAAATACAACCCTAAAGATAAAAAAAACCCTAAAAGCCTAACAAACATTTTCTAACACTGATGCTAGTGATGATTAAAAGGATCGTTTTTTTAAAGGAGGTTTCATGATTATCTGTGGTTTCATTCTGATTATTTGGAAAGTTTGGTTAGCAATAGATAGGACTGTAGAGTAGATAATGAAAAAATTGTTCTTGCCTTGGTTCCAAGTGCTACTAAGGGGAGTATTGTCAGAGCTCATGGATGTAGTTCCTCCTCCCTCTCTCTTTCCCACTACATCCATATTATTTCTTCATGAATGCTGTCATGCAGGTCTGCACGTCTCCCTCTGTATGTCCCCCCATCCCCATTGCATTTTTCCTGAGCGCCAAGATTCAAATTGCAATTTGGGCTAAGCACGTACTAAATAGCAGTCTAAGCTACCCCTTTCTCTACTTTCAAAATAAATGCGGCTTGCAGGGCACGAGACTCAGTCCTACTTGGTCTCGTCCCAAAGGTGAAAGTTTAATAGAATTCCTTTTGAGAGCTGAGTGAGGGCAGTGTCTCATGCTTTAGTGGTATTTCAGAGTGCTCAGGTCAGAAATCCTCAAGTTAGATTTAAGTACCTGGAGCAGTCTTAATTCTCCATGAGATGAGTATTTTGGTACGTGAGAAGAAATAAAAACGTCCTAAGACTTTGGAAATACCTTAACCCACAGCCTGCTGGCAGACTTGAGGACTGACTTTGGGTTTTGTGACTTGGCTGCCAGACTATTGCCCACTGCAGGGCTGCAGCCTGCTTTCCTCCCTGGTGCAAGCAGGTGCCCCTTCCCAGTCTTGCAGGGAACAGAACAGCCACGTTGTCTGGGCTGGGCCCCAATGGCGGCACCATGCTCCCTTCATGGTGGTCACCAAAGTAACTGTAAAGAGCCGGGTGAACAATAGGAAATTCTTGGTGAACTAGGTATGCTTTGTGAGTGGTGCTGCTGGCGGGAGGGGAAATGCCATGGACAGGCACTCCCGGGCAGCCCTTGGAAGCACGCACCTTGAAATACATGATTAATGTTCCTGCAGGTGCCCTGAGCATTGGTTACATCTCCAAATGTCATTCTCTAAATAGGCCACTTTAACATTCCAGTAGCTCATTAATGTCCGTCTAAGGAGCAAAGGACACGCATGTGCACGGATGTTTGTACGCACACCTGCAGCCTCGCGCTGCAACTCTTTATGTAGCTCCCAACGCAGTGTTAGCTCTGTGTGCACAAGGTGAATCCCTAGCTTGACTCTGGGCAAAAAGCCAGACCTGTCAGATGGCCAACTCTCATGTGCCATTAGGTTGAGCTGGTGCATTTTCCTTGTTTGTAGTTCTCCGTTCGGCTCCTTGGTGGAAGTTAGCAAACGCAGTACTTTAAGAGACTCGGACATTCTGCACAGGACTTAATTATTTGACAGTGGAAAATGCAGGAGAGTTTTAAAGTAGGCCAGCAAGGACAGGACCAGGAGACGAGCAGGTGGTAACATTTTGCTCTGGATTGCTGCCACCAAGTTTTTATCTTGCTGTGATTTGATATCATCTCACTGGATACTTTTTTACTCCTCTGAAAGTCAGTTATCACAGCAAGAGGAAATGTAAGAAATGCCATCGGGAGGTGGGATTTAAGGAAGCAGGAGGTGACTTGGCCATGATTAGGAGACCCCTCCCTTGGGTTCTCTCTAGGGTGCAAACCTCCAGTTGCTGGTCGTCCTGGGAGAGGTGAAGTCCTGCTGTGGGCTCGTCAATCAGCTGGTGGAGAGTCCCCCAGATTCTGCTGAAGCCAGTGGAAGAGCTTCTGGCAAAAAATCTCCTAAAGACTTACCTGGTTTACCCATCTCATAGAAAAAGAAGTGTGCTTTGAGATGGGCGGGGTGAATATAACTGCTCCGAGAGAGGAAGAGTAAAGGCATGTTGGCATGCGAATGAATGTGTTACCAAATGGTTAGGGAGGAAGGTTCCAGTGAAAATCAACTTTCAGCAAAAATTAGGAAAAAGTGGTGTAGCTTGTTAGTAAGAACCCAGCATGAGAACGGGATGGTCCCTTATTCAAATGCCATTTTCGAGCACTCTTGAATGTACTTCACATTAGTGAAAAACAGAACTCTTAGAACAGCAAGAAAATGCAATGGTTTGCAGTGGAAAATGTTGGGCACCTTTTAAATTTTAGGCAGAATTTACTGCCACGCAATTTATGCGTGCAGTCACTGAAAGCTGAAAGTGCAAATGCTCTGAACTTTGTGAGTTATTTTTTTTAATGCTTCTTCTGATGTAAAACAATTCTGATTGTTATATCAGAATTTTGAAACAGAAATATGTATTAGAATTTAAAGCTTTTGTCACAGCCTGATTTAAAATGCAACAGTTCTGTCAGAAATACTTGGTTAGGGTGGCTTCTGCCTGCATGTATTTAAAACATCTCTGGTTAAATTTCTAGAATTTCTTTCTTGAAAAATAAGCTGCCTTTTTTTTTTTTTTTTTTTTTTAAATTGCGGTAGTCATGGGGAAGCCGCAGCTTCTGCTTGTGTGTTCACTTCATTGCTCCTCTCCTTATCCTCCCACCTTCTCCTTCCAAGAGAAAAGGAAATACAGCATTAGGGAGATACGGTATTTTCAGTGATATGAAAGGTGTCTTTGTTTAAACAAAAACAGAAAAAAAATTATTAATTTCAAACTAAATTACTTTAAATTGTCTCCCCAACTTTCTGTGCATTCAGGGAGTAAATGTTTTTGCTTGTTCTAGGTGTATGGCTTATAAATAGATGACTTCGGGGAAACTGTTTAATTCCTTCATAATTTGAGAATAGCCTTTGTGGGCATTTGTAGAATATATACATAAATGTAAAAGAAATCTAACTGTGGCCAGAATGATGCATTCCCATATGTTCATGTATCTTTGGTATGACTGGTAGCAAAGTGTGGCTGTACGTGTAAGAAATGACCAGCAATGGCTGTTACTTCATGGCTGCATTCCTTCTGTCTACAGACGGCTGTTGAAGAGTGAACTTGGATCCTTCATCACAGATTATTTTCAGGTATTACATGATTTGCTTGCTTTCTTTTGAGGTTTGATCTCTTCAGCTTTTTAGCCTGTCAGAAATTTAGGACCCCTTTTTACATGGACATAACCTACAAGTTTCATTCTTGGTTTTGCTACAGAAGATGATGGAGGTACTGGGCTTTTTTCATGTGGGTCGTACAGCCTTGGGAGTAATCATATTGATGGGTGTATGGGCTAAATTAAGGATTATCTTCCTTTGTGCTTAAGAAAGGCTGCTAGTAGCCTGCCAAGGTCAAGAAGGAATTCTCTTGAACTTTTTAAGAAGATGGGATACCTTCTCATTGGTTTTTTCACCCAATTTTTCTAGCATGGGGTATGTTTTCTGCAACAGGGGCCAGCAAAGGGGAAGAGAAAAGATAACGGCTGTCTGTTTTGCAGGGCTGGGGGGGGGCGCAGAGGAGGAAGTCCCTATCAGCACCTGGGGACTGTTTCTTGTTTAGTCCCACAAATAGAAATGCAACCTGTGAAAAAGCAAAAGATGAAGGATGAGGGAAGACCTGATCAATGACAAATGTGGAGAAGTGTTACTGCCTTTTACTGCTACTGCCCAGATAGACAAAGGTTCAAATGTAACCACATGAAAGTGTGTTGGATGGTTGTGAGAGCACTGATGGCTTTCAATGTTGTAAGTTGTTCCGTGTAGTACGGATTAAAAAAAGAGAAGGAGGCTGCTGTAAACAAGAGGATTTTCTTTGCTTTGAGTAAGAGAGAGATTGAAAAAATTTCAGTACTTTCTGAAGTGGCTGATGCTGCTGCGTACTGTGCTAACAGTTTAGAAAGGGGAAAAAGAAGCCTAGTGTTGTTTCTTATCGGTATTAGATTACATGACTTAAAAAAATCCCCCATGCTGTGCTATCAAGCGAGAAGCAAACTCCTGCCCCAGGGGTAGTTGTGTTTCACTTCTTTAGACTCTATCTGCACAAGTTGTTCACTGGAAAGAGGCGGCTGCTGGCTGCGAGTGGGGTCTGGTGGCAGCCTGGCAGAAAGGCTGGGAGCCCGTAGCGCAAAGTGCCCGGCTTCAGTGGAAATCTGCTGCCGCTCCTGCTGGTTTCCAAACGGCAAATGAAAGTTTGCAACTCAATATATATATATAGCGAATTGAAGTGTGGAAGGTCTCGATCAGGTACCCGAGTACTATGGCATTAAGCGTGGTATGCAAGGCTGGACTGAGCAGGAAATGTCCAGGGGCAACTTCATGTACCCTTATGCCTGACTGGAGCATGGAGCTGAGCACGGTCCCAAGGGATGCCAAGTGCTGCCGTATGGCTGTTATCTGGTTTTGAAAATTCGGAGTGTGCCGAAAGAGGCCTGGGCAGGTTCCAGTGCTGAGGCAGATTCAGCTGCATCGTGTCGCTGCGCAGGAGGAGCCAGGGCTGCTGGGGACCGGTTGGCTCCTGGCGTTGGGGTCTGGATATGCTGTTCTCTTCCTCCAGACTGCCAGCCTCCAGCCCGTCCCAGCCATGACAGGTTTGGTGGCATTAGATCTCCTAGGAGTAGAGCTGATGGCTGAAGAGGCCGCTCAGGCTGCGGCCTGCTGGCTGCTGAAGGCCGAGTATCCGTGTTGTGTCCCTCCCACCAAGCCGAGGGCACCTGATCTCGTCCTGAGAGTACGATCTGATCACCAGCACCGCTTTCTGAAAAAGCAGGAGCAAAACCTGCGCTCCTTCAGCACCCTGAGGGCAGGGCTGTAGCACTTCAGCCAGAGGCCACAGCTGTGGTGTGGGTGGTCAGCGCGATGCTGCTGCCGAGAGAGCGGCGGCCGTTGCTCGGGGAGCGTGCCGCGCCAGGCCTCGCCTGCTCTCACCACGCTGCTTGCTGTCGGTCTGGCTGTTCATGTGCGGGCAAACACTCCGGTGTGGATGTACTGGTTCTCCTGCAGCTGCCCTTCTCCGGCTGAAGCCGCTGGGACTCAAATTTTGTTTCTGGGATTTTTTTTTTCACTTGGTGTTAACAGGAGTAACTTGGCACCTGTCAGACTTAGCCTGGAGTAAAACTCTTGGTGCTGGCAAGCCATGAGACATGCTGTGAGATAAAGCCTGTGGTAGGAAAGGAGCTTTTTTTCCCCACTGGGAGCTGAGATACAGGCTCCTTTCTGATTCTAGGCTGACAGTGTGTGGCGGTGATAAAAATTAGCGCTCCCTCCTGAGTGTTTTTACTGAGAAATCCTGGGGCCAAGGAGTGGGGAGGATGCTCCGTGTACCGAAGAAGACCATTCGTTTGTCTGTGGGTTCGGTTCCACTTTGGATGCCAGCTGATTTACCAAAACGAACAGAGTAGAATCAGATGATTTAGCTGAAAAATAACCCTGAAAGAAAAAAAAAAATAAAGTTTTCAACTCCTTCCTTTGGCTTGTGCTCATCACCTCTGAGATGGGGGAGGTGCTGGGAGCAGGGCACCGGGCTGGGGAGTGGAGTGAAGTGCGTTTTTGGCAGTGGCTTCCTCCTCCATCGGTTAAAGCCCACGGAAAAGCTATCCCGAGAGGCAAGTTTACTGTTCTCTTAGATTGAAATGGACCCTGAAGGTTCTGCAGTCCTGTGTAACCGTGCAGTTTTAAATATCCTAGCAGCAATTAGAGCAACTAACTGGATCTGATAAATTGACTCAAATGGTTTCCATTTCTTGTGCCACAGCATTTGTAACAGGAGCCACTAAGATAATTTTTAAAATCACATTTTCCATTGTTTTAGCAGTTCTGGCTCTTACATTATGTATATTTTATACACATGCACGTGCACGATTTCTCTAACCACTGAATATTTAAGACTAAAATGAAGCCGAGCTTTTATAGTGAGACAAATCTACCTTTGTGATCAACTTGACTTGATTCCTCACAAGTCCTTTTCACCAAAATTCATGCAAATTACCACATTGTAGCTCCTGAAGTTGCTAAAGGAATGTTTAGGAAATGGATGGGGTTTAGGCAGTCTTTGCTACCAAACCATCATCATACCAGAGTTACTGAGTCTGTTTTGTATGTGAAAGGGAAATGCAATTCCCGTAAGGGTTCCAGTGGGAACTCAGATGTTTCATTCTGAAGGAGATTTGCGTTTATAAATTTGCTGCTTTAGCAACCCTATTATACGTACAAGCCATCTTCTTGGATCAGAGTCTGAGTGTAAATGCCAGATAGTTGGGACTTGTAACACTAGCTTAAGGCAATGCTTTATGCTCTGGGTTTTCCAGTACTGACTTTGCCCATGAACTGGTCTGATTGTTTCCTGCTGCTGAAGAGGGGCACTTTGTACCCACTCCTCAGTAACCCAGCAGGGCACCATCTGCTCTCATGGCCAGGTTAGTTCTCTGGTGGTCAGCTGAAACGCAACAGGGAGGAATCCTGTGACCATGGAAGGTAAGAGGCTGGGATTTCGATGAGCAGTGTGTATTGGTGATTGGGACTTCTCTGGGGCAGCTGTAAGTTTTTTTGCAGAAAAGTTCCCTTCATTTTCATGCTGTCTGACTCTTGTGGTTGTGGAGAAAATTTTTGAAACATAAAACTATTGAGTGTCAATAAATTGATGCATTATCTTTCTGATGCTGCAAACAGCCTGAAACAAAACCTTTGGAAAGGATGAACTGTTTCTTTTCACTCTCCGGGGACTTGTTAATCTTGAAACTCACAGGGGAAAATGGAAACACTAGCTATTTCACAGCTAACCGCTTTAGCAGAACTGCCTGGTTTGTGCATATTAACTCCAAACTGTCTCCTTCCGAGGCGGAGAGACCCAGTCCCTACCCAGCCACTGGAACCTCTCCCAGCACCCCTGGGCTGCAAATGCAGAAAGTTGCCCAGAGCTGCTGCCTCTCCAGCCTGACCTCCTCTGCCTGCACCAGCAGAGCTTGTACGTGGGGGATGGCGAGGGGACTATATTTCCTCATTTAATCCAATGAGAGCTTTGACGTCTTAAAACCAGAAGTGAAGCTGTTACATAATTTCCAGCACACTGTTCTGGAGAGGTGCGGAAGGGCACAAGTCCTGACTCAGAATTAGGCCTGGCTTTCCTGTTTTTATGCAAAAACATAGAAACCGCAATATGCTAGCACTCATGTTGCTGATGTGTTGAGTAAAGTCAAAATAGCAAGCTGATAATGGATAGCTGTGAGCATAAGCAGCAACAAGGCAAGCCCAGGTCCAAGACAAAATTGATTTTGTCCTTTCCTTGGAGAGTGGTCAGAAGTATGACTGGTGAACCTTCCTGTGCTCGGAGGAACTTTCCTGGTAGGTTGGCCAGCTGTGCAAGGTGGCTGCAGTGGTAGAGGGAAACACGCACTCCTCCCTCTACTGTGGCACCGTAAAGCTTTTGCTTAGATCCCTGCTGCATATCTTCCTGGGACTGCAGCCTATCCAGCATCTCTCGTGATGCTTGACCTCCTTTGAGAGGCTGTTTTGTAAAGCCATGCTAACAGCTGGAAATGCCGGGTGTCCCTCTCTCTTTCTTAGTCAAAGAGAAAAACCTGGTACGTGTGACATTTTTCCTTGGTGCCAGTTTTCGAATTCTACCTGTTTGCAAGGCAAGGAAATAGCTTGTTATTGGTTGTGATGGTTATTGCTGTGATAGGTTATTGGTGTGATGGTTATTGCTGGATAAAAAGGCAGCACTAGGTCTTCTTCAGCCAAGTGCCGTCTCATGCCCGCTGCCATGGACTGCAGCAGCTCGGCCACTGCATGAGGGGAGAGAATTCACACTTGCGTGATTTGCAGAGCTCAGCCATATGTCTGCAATACTCTTTTGGGTCAAGCTGGTCTTTATTATTGCTTTTATTATTGTATTGGTGAGGTACTGTACCAGGTTGCCCAGAGAAGCTGTGGATGCCCCATCCCTGGAGGGGTTCAAGGCCAGGCTGGATGAGGCTTTGAGCAACCTGGGCTGGTGGGAGGTGTCCCTGCCCATGGCAGGGGGGTGGAACTCGATGATCTTTAAGGTCCCTTCCAACCCAAACCATTCTGTGATTCTATTGTATGATTTCTCTCCTCAC